AGCGTTTGGAGGGTTTTGGAGCGTTTGGAGGGTTTGAGGCGTGGCAAACGGCAGCCTTGAACGCCTATAAGAAGCCATTGCTGCGGCCGGAAGGTGCCCTTGAGCCATTGCTGTGGCCTTGTGGTGGCTTTTGCGTGCGGAAGTGGCGCGTGTTGGGCTTGTTGGGGGACCTTGTCCCTGCGGAGCTATGCGAACTTTTGGAGCGTTTGGAGGGTTTTGGAGGGTTTGAGGCCTGGCAAACGGCAGCCTTGAACGCCTATAAGAGGCCATTGCTGCGGCCGGAAGGTGCCCTTGAGCCATTGCTGTGGCCTTGTGGTGGCTTTTGCGTGCGGGAGTGGCGCGTGTTGGGCTTGTTGGGGTACCTTGTCCCTGCGGAGCTATGCGAACTTTTGGAGCGTTTGGAGGGTTTTTGGAGCGTTTGGAGGGTTTTGGAGGGTTGTAGAAGGGTTTGAATAGGCCTGGCAAACGTGCAGAAACCTGAATCCCTTGAATAAGCCAAAAAATTTCTGCGGCCGAAGGTGCCCTTGAGCCATTGCTAGTGGCCTATGGTGGTAGCTTTTTGCGTGCGTGAGTGGGCGCGTGTTTGGCTTGTTTGGGTCACCTTGTCCTGCGGAGCTATGCGAACTTTTGGAGCGTTTGGAGGGTTTTGGAGGGTTTGAGGCCTGGCAAACGGCAGCCTTGAGCGCCTATAAGAAGCCATTGCTGCGGCCGGAAGGTGCCCTTGAGCCATTGCTGTGGCCTTGTGGTGGCTTTTGCGTGCGGGAGTGGCGCGTGTTGGGCTTGTTGGGGTACCTTGTCCCTGCGGAGCTATGCGAACTTTTGGAGCGTTTGGGGGGTTTTGGAGGGTTTGAGGCCTGGCCAACGGCAGCCTTGAACGCCTATAAGAAGCCATTGCTGCGGCCGGAAGGTGCCCTTGCGTTTGGAGGGTTTTGGAGGGTTTGGTTAGGCTTGTTGGGGTACCTTGTCCCTGCGGAGCTATGCGAACTTTTGGAGCGTTTGGAGGGTTTTGGAGGGTTTGAGGCCTGGCAAACGGCAGCCTTGAACGCCTATAGGAAGCCATTGCTGCGGCCGGAAGGTGCCCTTGAGCCATTGCTGTGGCCTTGTGGTGGCTTTTGCGTGCGGGAGTGGCGCGTGTTGGGCTTGTTGGGGTACCTTGTCCCTGCGGAGCTATGCGAACTTTTGGAGCGTTTGGAGGGTTTTGGAGGGTTTGAGGCCTGGCAAACGGAGCCTTGAACGCCTATAAGAAGCCATTGCTGCGGCCGGAAGGTGCCCTTGAGGAGCTATGCGAACTTTTGGAGCGTTTGGAGGGTTTTGGAGCGTTTGGAGGGGTTTGGAGGGTTTGAGGCCTGGCAAACGGCAGCCTTGAACGCCTATAAGAAGCCATTGCTGCGGCCGGAAGGTGCCCTTGAGCCATTGCTGTGGCCTTGTGGTGGCTTTTGCGTGCGGGAGTGGCGCGTGTTGGGCTTGTTGGGGTACCTTGTCCCTGCGGAACTATGCGAACTTTTGGAGCGTTTGGAGGGTTTTGGAGGGTTTGAGGCCTGCGCAAACGGCAGCCTTGAACGCCTATAAGAAGCCATTGCTGCGGCCGGAAGGTGCCCTTGAGCCATTGCTGTGGCCTTGTGGTGGCTTTTGCGTGCGGGAGTGGCGCGTGTTGGGCTTGTTGGGGTACCTTGTCCCTGCGGAGCTATGCGAACTTTTGGAGCGTTTGGAGGCTTTTGGAGGGTTTGATTGCGTGCGGGAGTGGCGCGTGTTGGGCTTGTTGGGGTACCTTGTCCCTGCGGAGCTATGCGAACTTTTGGAGCGTTTGGAGGGGTTTTGGAGAGAGTTTGAGGCCTGGTAAACGGCAGCCTTGAACGCCTATAAGAAGCCATTGCTGCGGCCGGAAGGTGCCCTTGAGCCATTGCTGTGGCCTTGTGGTGGCTTTTGCGTGCGGGAGTGGCGCGTGTTGGGCTTGTTGGGGTACCTTGTCCCTTCGGAGCTATGCGAACTTTTGGAGCGTTTGGAGGGTTTTGGAGGGTTTGAGGCCTGGCAAACGGCAGCCTTGAACGCCTATAAGAAGCCATTGCTGCGGCCGGAAGGTACCCTTGAGCCATTGCTGTGGCCTTGTGGTGGCTTTTGCGTGCGGGAGTGGCGCGTGTTGGGCTTGGTGGGGGACCTTGTCCCTGCGGGACTATGCGAACTTTTGGAGCGTTTGGAGGGTTTTGGAGGGTTTGAGGCCTGGCAAACGGCAGCCTTGAACGCCTATAAGAAGCCATTGCTGCGGCCGGAAGGTGCCCTTGAGCCATTGCTGTGGCCTTGTGGTAGCTTTTGCGTGCTGGGCGTGTTGGAAAAGTTCCACACCTGCGGTGGTCCCAGGCGCCGCCCCGGCCTTGGCGAAGGCCGGGGTCGGCGGATAATAGTATTGTATGATATATTGAATTATTGAATTCATTATTTTTCATGGATTGGTGTGACTCTTTGATTTTCTACTGGTCGACAGCATTTTCGTAAAAGACATCGTTGATGTTGCAGATGATTTGGACTTGCTGGTATCCCCAAATCGTTGCAGCCCGCTTGTGGGGATTAAAAGATGTTAAACGCATGTGTAAGCCAAACTAGCCAAACCCTCAGCTGCGAGGAACAAAGGCATCGTCAACGATCCCATCGTGCTGACGGTCTATGCTACTGGTGCACCTGATCTCACCTTGATCGATTTGTAGGGTGAGCCCAGTGGGTTTCGAGGTGAAACTACTTGATTATTCGAGTGGGTCAAGTGGGCCTCAATCAATGTGACACCCGAAGCCACTCCGGTTATATATTTGGTTTTATGTCCCTATTGAATCTCATGAAATTCCCATGAAATCCTCATTAACTCCTCATGAAATCCCCATTCAAGCTCATCAACTCCCGACTAGCTCCCTCCCCACTCCCAGTCGCATTCCAGGCCCGGTGTGACTCGGGTACCTTTGAAGGGCAGCGACCAGGCGATGGGGGCCCCTGCCTCGGTTCACTTGGCGTGGCGACCGATGGCCACGGCCCAGGTGGAGGACATTGAAAAGATCACTCGAGACATGACGTTGCACTACATCAAGGACACAACGTCCAAGGGATGTCCTGACAAGTTGCAGATGTATGGATTTCCACATAGATGAATGAGGGATGCATGTTTTTTTGGACCTGGGCACCTTTTTTTTGGACCCGAATGATATATTTGCACACATACCTTTGGAAACAGGGGCAAGTTGTGCACTGTAAAATCTGTAAAGAACTCCTGTAGTATGCTCCGCGGTTTTGGACAGTGATCCGCCAGGATCCACGCACTATCATCCTGTGCGTGGTACCTGCCAATCAGGATGGTGCAATGCCGGTTGCACGTGTGGTTGCCTCGAGCTGTTTTCCCACGTTTCATAGTTAGAGCATGTTAGAGCACAGAAATGAGATGAAACGAGAACATGAAATGCATTCCCATCCCATGTTCTCATGAGGTTCTCCCATTTTTTTATATTTTTTTCAGCAAATGCCATGGCATTTCTCAAAACCCCACTGAAATATCCCGTTGGTTTTCTGTGAAATCAGACTCGATCCTCGAAATCCTGGAGGACATGTCTGTGTCGGATGCGCTTCAACTGGCCCGGCAAGTTGACCCGAACGGGGTGAGGCGCTGTATCTTTTAAGTTTTCTGCTTTTGATGAATCAGAGTGCATCAGGAGGATCCTGTGCTCATTGACAAGTGGCTTAAGTATATTTTTTTCAGCACATGGATGTCTTCCCCCAAAATCATCCTCTGAACGGCATGGATATGTTATGATATGTCCCAAACTACCCAGAAAACAACTTGGGTTTCCCATGGAACCTGGATTTCTTCGTTGTTCAACAACGAAAGCTGCACCAGATGGCACCTCATCATCCCTGGAAGGTCCATTGGAGTCATTACCAAGATTGACATCATGGATCAAGGCACAGATGCCGTCAAGATGTCACTGGCCTCAAGTGCTGTGAGGCGTTGGAGATTTGCCGGTCAGCATTGTCGTTGGTTTCTGTGCCAACTTGAACTATGTTCACTACTGAAATCCAAGTGCTTGGGTCGAATCCAATTCATTCAACAGGTGATGGTGAATCAGCAATGACCATAGCTGCAGCTCAGTATCCACGTTGTCCTGGAAATTAGGCAGCAGAGTGCAGTTATTTTGACAGCACCTGTCCTATGCGGGGGCTGTAAGAAACACAGGTTTTCAGAGCCAGGTAGCAACTCGTCGTGAGCCTCCGCCACTTCCGAGGCTACGAGGGGAAGATATCCCACTTCGTTGAAGCCTCGATTGGGGTCTGGTGGAGCTGACCATAGCCAGACCATGCTCATCATGATGGGTGAGTCGGTGGATTCTGGATATACAAGGCTACATTGAAACAGAGAAACAGCAAAACAGCATGATGCGTGGGGGCAGATTGAACCTCGGGGGAGCCTGTCTGAAGCGCAAGTTTTGCTGACTGTATGGCTGCACCACGAGGTCTGGGATATGTAGGTGTGAAAATGCGAAACCAGCAGGAGAACACTGGTGAGGGGAGAGTGTTCTGAGCATGAACTCTGGGGTGGCGGGAATGAGCAAATGGGAGAGAAGGGACATAGGTTCATGGCCAAAAAACTGAAGGTTTGGAATTTAGAATCAGTTTCTAGGTTTGTATCATGCAAATGCCCCAGGAATCTAGAGCTGGATTTGGAAGGACACTTTCCAGTTAAAATGTTCAATGTCCAACCGGCGCAGTCAGTGTGAATTGTTCCGTTCGAAGGACATCACCAGCAACAAACCAGTGAAGGTCTCCTTAAAGGAAGAAAGGCTCCTGCGTTCATTGCGGCGATGACAGCTGTCCCAGTTTCGCTACTATCATGCGGAGTTCTTGATGCCAGTGATGCAACATTTTGACTTATTTATGGGGTTGAAGTGTGACCAGCTGATTTCTACATCTCGACATATCTCGACCAACCAAAGTGCAAACGGATCTTCCTGATCTTACTGCCGGTGTTGCAGGGAGTGGTTCGACAATCATCGGCTTTACAACAAGCTGCCTCCAGGCCAGGGGTACAGCTGCGGCTAATTTCTGCGAAGCAGATCGGTAAAAGATGGTCCCCGTTTTTTTTTGGATGGTCATTCATGATCATTAATCCATTTTCATAGGGATTCATATACCATATATATATATACATCCATGACTTTGTAACAACGACTGCCTTTTCACCATTCTCAAGCTTCATGCCCCCCTGGTTCGACGAGGTGTTGAGGGTTGTGGCCTTTGGTTCAGGTACTTCTTGGTTTGGTTTGGTTTGCCCGGCTCACTGTGGTGCATCCCTTCCCTACCTGTTGGCCCTGTTCCTTTCCGGCCTGTGTCTTGGGGTGGTGTTGACTTTGGGTTTTGGATTTTACCTGTCCTTCTGGTTTTTCCATAACTCTTCTGTCACTCCATCTCCACCTCAATCCTCTCATCGCCCCAGGGCTCCATCTAGGCTCCTTGCCTATCTGTATGAGCGCCCGCTCCATCCTGGTCAACGCGATTAGGAGCGCGGTTGCTAGCCTTCGGGCAATTGCCAGCAGTCTCGAGGCTGCCCTGAACGGAGCTGAGGCCGTATCCTCTGCCATTGCTGGCCCTGAGGCCCCTGTGACAGTAGCCTCATTGGAATTGGACTTAGAGGCATCTGCTATCTCTGCTTTTTCCGCTGGGGCCTCCTCTGGACCTTCAGCTTCCCGCACTTCGAGCCACGACGAGGTTGCTCAGCTTCTTACTGCTGCCCCTCCTGCTTGTCATCAAATCTGTGCCGCCTTGCAGTGCCCCCCTGAGGAGAAGAGAGCCAGGACCCAGAGAGCTTGGGAAGCTGGCTTGTGGGCAAAGGCCACTCTCACCGGTCAGATCGACCGTCCCCGGCCTACCCCAAAGCTCGACAAGAGGCCCACTGTCTACATCATCTTGCGGGCCCCCAGTGTCTCTCGCCCAACCAGGGTATGTACCTCTGCGGAATACTTCCAGCTCATCCCCAGGTTCACTCCAGAATCTGTCTCTCACTCATTCCCCTCGCTGGCAGAGGGAAAGGTGTATTGCCTGGCCGCTGGAGTTGATTTTCCTGAACATAGGTCTCAATGATGGATGCACCTGCGGAAGTGTTTCAGAGCTTGGAGGAGGTCCGAACTCTCGACCAAGGACCAGTCCCTACTTTTGTTGTGAGGCTCCCGGAGGTGGTGGATGCGGCGACGGGCTCAACTCTCCCTTCCACGGAGGTTTTGGCAATCCCTGTGCTCTCTCGAAGCTCTGGCATTCTGATGGCTTTGCCTGCCGGCTCCCTTCCCCCAGAAGTGGCTTATCCTGTGGATCCTCCCCTGCCTCAGGCTCTGATAGGACCCGTCAAGGAGATTTTGGTGACAGCCGCTGCGGACGACGAAGAGGGCCTGGAGAAGCCTTTGGATTCACAGCTCCAGTGCATGCTGGTGGACTTCGATGCTGCCATTCTTCCCAAACTGCGGCGGTTAGACCCAGTCACCGAAGGGCCAGGGATCCATTGTTTCTCGGCAGGAGATGTGGATATCTTTCCTTCATCCCAAGAGTTGCTGACCGCGACTTATGCCTGGATTCAGGAGGAGCAAGAGGGCCGGGTAGGCTACTACTCAGCTATGGAGGAGCTTCCCCAGGAAAACCCCAGAGCTGCCCCAAAGCAAGCAACAGCCAAAGCCAAGCACAAAGCAGCTACAGTTCCAAAGAGAGTCTCCACTGCGACCCTCTCTCAACAGCTGGCTTCCCTTGCCGAGTCCATCCCAGCCCTCTCTTCATCCTTAGTCGAGATGCAGAAGAGACAAGACAGTCTGGAGCAAGCCTTGTCCCGTCGCCCAGCAGCCCCTCCTCCTGCTCCTCATCGGTTGGATTTTGGTCAGACAGGTCCTTCCCCCAAGAGGGTCATTCCCCCTCCTGCCAAGTTCCTCGCAGCAGTTGGCCCTCCCCCAAAGTTGAGGAGTCCTCAGAAGCCCCAGAAGGTGGAGGAGATGCCAGAGGACGAGCCCCAGGGACTCTTGGAGGAGTTGGAGGATGTTCCCCCCGAGGAGCAACAACATACTGTGTCACAGATGTTGGTGAAGCAGCAAATGGCCCTCAACACCCTTGTGGCTCATCTGGCGAGCCAGGATGGACTTCACGATCTAGGGGTGTCAGGATCAGCCTCTTCGAGCATCTCTCTGAAGGGTTCGGCCAAACGAGAACGCCTCCTCTCAGACCTAGCTGCCAGACGCAGCGACTTTTTCTTGAAGGTTGCACAGAACGCCCACAGGCGTCTCAAGCCCGCAGAAGCAGTGCCCCAAGCCCTCGAAGAGTTTCCTCAGAAGGCCCTCTTTACCAAGTACTTGGAGCGACAGGGAGGGTACACGGGGTACCAACGAGAGCAAGGCCTCACCATGTGGCTTTTGGGTCACGTAGCAGACCAGATGCTGTTAGGAGATGTGAAGGGCGCCCAAGAGATGCTGGCTTTGGCGATGGTAGCAATAGAGCAGAGTGCAATGGACAATGGCAAGTGGGAGATAGCATGGGTCTTAGCACTTCAGGAAGACCCCCCCCAGCAGCTCTTTGCACACCGTCCCATAGCAACAAACCCCAGGCTGAGGGCCTTCAGCCCACTTTGCCCCGCCGACTGGGGTGCCATAGCTCTTGCCTACGTGAAGGAGCTGGATCTCCTCTCCAGCAGGAGACAGGAGGCTCTTCAAGGAGGCGGGAGGCAGGAGGAGGATGCGGCCGACTCTACAAAGAAGCCAAAGCAGCCCAGGTACCCTCGAAAGCCAAAGGCGCAAGGAGAGCAAAGCTCAACAGAGACCACATGAAGCAAGCCACATCGGGCATCACAAAGCTGAGCCCTTGTTCCCGCCGGATCAGCCCAAGTGCAGGGCCCAGTCAAGCTTCTTGGAATTTGGACTTTCCTTTTCCCTGTGAGGCCGCTGGACTTAGGGCCAAAGATCCGCCCCCCTAATTGGTCTTCCCTTCAGACCTTTTCCTTTCTGCGTTGGACTTCTACCTTGTGTCGCCAAGTGCTCCGCAGTTGCACGCCATTTGCCCATTTCCTGAGGCAGACTCTCCACATGACCAGAACGCCCGAAGAGGCTTCTGCAAAAGCTTTGTTCCCCATCCCCTTGCCTAAGGAAGGAGTCTTTACAGTTTCAAGCAGTGCGGGGTCCAGGGAGAGGCGGAGGAAGTCTTTTGACCAGGCTGTTCATATCACCGTGATGGCTTTGAATTTCTGGTATTTTGACTACAAGTTTCCTCCCCTCTCTCAGTTGACTTTGGCGCCCTCTCCTCCTCAGGCGAGAGTCCTTGATGGAATTCGGAATGTGGTCAAGGCTTTCGGTAGCTGTGAGGATACTTTCCAAATCCCTCCCAGTGGCCGAAGATGTACTTCTTTGATTTCCCAGCTGGCTGACCTAAGTGATTTTGTTTCTTGGGAGGGCCTTGCTGGTGCATCCTACTCCCGCGGTTTCAAAGGTTCCGAAGAGTCCCTGGCGTCGCTGGTGCATGTGCCTGTCGATAAGACTAGAGCTCCTGAATTAACACCCTATAGCAGCCTGAATCCCGACCGCCTGAAGATTGCTGGAAGTGCTCAGTGGGATCCTTCTTTCCACATGTCCGACTCATTATGGATGGCATTTTGCGAACCTGCTTCGTTGAGATGGACTGAAAACCAGAGGACCCCTGATGCGCCTGACTTGAACAAGGAAGATTATCAGGCAGTCAAGGGCTTGTTGAAGATTTGGGATGCCAAGGGTCTGCTTTTCTTGCGTGATGAACTCCTGCCAGAGGGCGAAGCTGACCTCTCCATGAGGTTCTTCAATTGCCACAAGAACTTGGATGTGGATCGCATGATTGGAGATCGTAGGTCGAGGAATTTTGTTGAGGGCACCATTCCAGGTGCTTCCCAGTGTCTTCCACCTGCTCTGATGCTGGCCAACTTGGAACTGAGGCCGTTTTGCGACAAGGCTTGCATCTATGTGTCGGATCGAAAGGATTTTTATCACCAGATGAAAGTCACCTCAGAACGTGCTGCCACTAATGCTCTCTGGCCTCCGATTTTCAGAGAAGATCTTGAGGGAACGTTTGCTTTGGCTTCATGGTGTGAAAGAAACTTGAAAAGGACAAGGTATGACCGTTTGAAGCATGGAGACCTTTTCAAGCCCGACTGTTTGCCAAAGCCACGGAAGCATCAGAACATGCCAGGCCTGTTTCAAGGTTGTTTTGCCAGTGTGCCCCAAGGTGACCACCTTGGTGTAGAGTTTGCCGTGGATGCCCATAGGAATCTGCTTAGGAGCCATGGACTTTTGCATGACCGTGAGGAGCTCAGAGCAGATAGACTTTTCAAGGGTAGGCACCTCGCTTCCGGTTTGGTCATTGATGATTTTTATGCTGTGTCAGTTCAACATGTTTCGACCAGGCCTGAAGCATCACTTGCTAGCCAGCGTTTTCAAGTTGCCATGAAAGCTTACAATGACCAGAAGCTTCTGGGTTCAGCAAAGAAAGATGTGGTAGGTGCCGACAAAGCAAAAATCACAGGGGCGGAGCTGGATACCTCCGAAGCTGTTCGGAAGCTGGGCATGGCCACCCTTGCTTCTCCGATGACCAAGAGGCTTTCCCTTGCACATGTTTCGCTCGAGCTGGCCAGGTTGCGTGTGACCACGGATCAGCTTCATCAATGCCTTATAGGAGGGTGGGTTCACTCCCTGCTGTTTCGACGGCCCATGATGTCACTGTTGGACGCAAGTTTTAAGCTAGTTGACAACAGCGACAGGCGTGGAGACAACCCACGTGTTTTGCCTTTGTCCCGCCAAGTTGCCCAAGAACTTGTGATGCTTGCGGTGTTATGCCCCTTCATGTCCACTGATCTTACGGCTTCTTTGTCTTCAACAGTGTTTGCCACGGACTCCTCTGACAGGAAGGGAGCTTTTGTTGCGGCGGAGGTGACCCCTGACACTGCCAGAGCACTGTGGAGATCAGGCAGGAAAAAGGGTGGATACACAAGAATGCTCAGCCGTACACAGGCCTTGCTTAAAAAACTTGACCCTTCGTTTGTTGAACCCTGGTCTGATGAAGAGGGCCCTCAAGCTGGCCAAGTTCCCAGACCACTTGCTCTTCGTTTTCATTTCTTGGAGATTTGCGGAGGTGCGGGAAAGGTTGCAGCAGCTTTGTCACGCTGTGGATGGACAGTTGGCCCCGTCATTGATTTGGACAGATCGAGGTTCTTTGATTTGAGTGATCTCAGGGTGATTTCTTGGATTTATCATCTTGTGGAATCAGGTTTGTTGGATGCGTTTATGGTTGAGCCGCCTTGCACGACGTTTTCACCTGCTCAGCATCCGGCGTCTCGGGGCTATGACCAGCCTAGAGGCTATGATCCCTTGGACCCAAAGACCTTGACGGGAACAACTTTGGCCTTGCGCTCCCTGGCATTGATAGACCTGGCAAGTGACTCTGGATGTCCTGGACTTCTCGAACAACCCCGCAGAACCAAGATGCGTCGTTTGGAGGAGTGGCAAAGGTTGTTGGAAATGCAGCGTGCACATGAAGTCTGGACTGCCGGTTGCATGTTTGGGAGCATTCATAACAAAGAGTTTGTTTTCCTGTACTGCAATATGGATGGGGAGAAGCTACACAGAAAATGCGATGGCTCTCACCAGCATGTCAGGATTGAAGGTCAGTACACGAAGAAATCTGCCATCTACACAGATGAGTTAGCTGAAGCCATTGCATGCCAGTTTGATGCCGCCTTGACGCGAAAGCTCAGGATTGAAGACTTCAAGGAGCCACAGACCGCAGGCCTTGAAAGCCCCCTTTGCAATGAGGTTTTGCTCAGCGCTAAATGGAGGCCGGTCTCTGTTTGGACTTGGAGGAGACCTATGCATATCAACATCCTTGAGACCCGTGTTGTTCTTGCCCTTATGAAAAGGCTTGCCCTTTCAACCCCTGGGATTCGTCAGGTTGTTGCCTTGGACTCAAATGTTGGACTTTCTGCACTTGCTAAGGGCCGTTCCCCGTCCTATGGACTTAGACCTTGCGTGCGAAAGACAGGGGCTACCGTTGTTGCTGGGCGTCTCTACCCTGCCTACCAGTTTGCCCCCACACGTTTGAATCCAGCTGATCACCCAACCAGAGATAACCTGATTCCAGAGCCTTCCCAGCAAGCATGGCCCCCTGAAGCTTCCCTTGAAGAGCTTTTGGATTTTGCCGAAGTCAACATGCTGTCCCGTCCGGCTGCAAATTGGGTCCGGCTTTTCACTTTGGTTCGGAAGCCTCCTTATGACTGGTTGGGTCCTGAACACAGTTGGCGTTTTGCCCACTTCAGTGTTAAGCACTATCCCTACGTCAGCCAGTCTGCCTCTCGCCTGGTCCCATGTCGTGTGTTGGACTTTGATTCAACTCTGGGTTATCCTGGGGAAGGTCCTCCCTTTGTCTTCGGTTCGACCTGGTTGGTTTGGATTTGGTTTGAACTTGCCATCGGTCTCTTCACGACGGTTGCGCAGTGGGCCGGGTGTGGTGTTGTCTGGACTTCAGGTCGAAGGTCTGTGCGTGCCCCTGTTAGGCTGTGGATTTTCGTTGGACTTGTCCTACAGGTTCAGGTAGGTTCATGTGTGAGCCATGGCCCTGCGCTGAGCTTTCGAAATCCTGGCGACGTTCGGAGGGCAGCTCTACGCGTCGCTGCAGACCTTCCGGAAGGGAGACCGGTTTTGGGCAAGACTCAAGTCTACAGAGACAAACTTTTGGCTGACTTTGACATGTGGCTTCAAGAAGATGGATTTCTCTGGAACAGTTGATTGGACCCGCAGAGCTGGACATTGAGTTTCTCAACATACAGCTTGAGAGGTATGGCCGATCTTTGTATTTGTCAGGACGGCCTTATGGCCATTACGCGGAGACAATCAACGGGATTTCAGGGAAAAGACCAAGGGTCCGGCGCATGCTGCAACAGGCGTGGGATTTAGCCTATGCCTGGGTCAGACAAGAACCTCCAAGTCATCACGTGGCGCTTCCTTGGCAAGCACTTCTTAGCATGATTACTACAGCATTCTTCTGAGGATGGTCAAGGGAAGCAGGAATTTTGGCGCTGTCCTGGGGAGGTCTCACTAGGATCGGAGAAGCTTTGACAGCCACCCGAAAGCAACTGGTCCTTCCTTGAGACATCGAGTATACCGCTGAATTTGTCCTGCTGCAGATCGATGAACCGAAAACAAGATTTCGTGCCGCAAGGCACCAGGTTGATCAACCCCAATTGATGGCTGTCATAGACCTGGCTTTTGGGCGATTGTGCTCCCATCAACGATTGTGGCCTTTTTCCGGACAAACCATGAGATCAAGGTTCCGAAAACTTTTGTCTGCAAATGGCCTGGATCGATTGCCTCGAAGTATTTCCAAGGGCCTTGACTTGGGAAGTCTTCGTGCTGGAGGATCCTCTTGGCTGATGCTGGTGACAGACAACCCCGACCTCACGCGCAGGAGAGGCAGGTGGTTGACAAATAAAATAATGGAGATATACGTGCAGGAGGTGTCGGCGATTCAATTTATCCCACATCTGCCAAAGGATGCAAAGAAACAGATTTCAGATGGGGCCGCCATTTTTCCTTGGATGCTTGCGCATGTACAGAGTTTAGACAGGATGCAGATGCCACCAACCGTTTGGCCAATTCTTGTCCAGGAAGAAGCAACCAAGTTTGAAACGAATGGGTGAAGCAGTGGATTTAAACCGGAGGAAATAGTTGGGTGTTGTTTTGACACTTTTGGCTACAACGGCCGTGTCATTACTCCAGCTGCATGTGGAGAGAAAAGATGAGTGATTGGCTTGAGTTGTTGACTTTGTAACAACGACTGCCTTTTCACCATTCTCAAGCTTCCCAATTACCCACACCACCCTTTGCTTCTTCCTGGGGTGTTGTTTTGACACTTTTGGCTACAACGGCCGTGTCATTACTCCAGCTGCATGTGGAGAGAAAAGACGAGTGATTGGCTTGAGTTGTTATATAGTACATATATATATATACATATATAGTATATACAGTATATATATATATATTTATTTATATATATATATATATATATACATCCATATATAGTATACATACCCATGGATTCCCATGAATTCCCGTGGGATAACTGGGATAACCCTGGGACAACCCTGGGACGATGCTGAGGCTTGGTGGGCACCGACACCCTCATTACGAAGCTTACTCAGTGGCTGGGGCTGAACATAGCGGGGCACCGACCCGACCACGGCGACTTCGTCGTATGACCCACGATGGGTATCCTGGTGTTCGTGGTTGTGGTATGAAGAAACTGAATTTTTGTATAGCGAAAAAATTGTTGCCGTGCTATTGAAACATCCAATTCTCGTGGTGGAACTTTCCCTAATGTTGAGCCAGCCTTTTTATGGTCTCGGTGTTAACCTGAGGATCGAAGAGACACTCTGATGGAATTTTATGTATATCATATTGCATCATTGAATTTTGAAGTCTACTGATGTATCATGACGTATCTGTATTGCAGTCTGTATACATCAACCCTAGATACCAAGGCTTTCACTCCCAGTTGCCCCAGCTGCCCCAGCTGCCCCTGAGGATTCTCTTCAAACACATTCGCCGTCGCTTGGCGTTCGCATTGCTTCAACCGCTGGATTTTATCGGTGGCGACTGCTGGCAGCTAAGGCTTTCTGCCTGAGATTAAGAAGGAAATCAATGAAAAGAGGAGGCGCCTTGGCGCCTTGCTGTGGAAGGGTGACAAAACCCTCCTGTCATTGATCTATAATATCTGTTTTCCCGAAGCCTGGAATCATGGTTTATTTTAGGAAAATCATCCCCATTCATGGCCGAACTATTCAGGTTAGTGTAATATTATAATATACCCGGACATATGTAATATAGTTTGACGCTTCCCGGAGCTCCACAGGGTGGTGCAAGATCGCCTTGAAGAACTGGGTCAGGACCTCAATTGACAACGGGGCGACCCGTTGTGAGTTAGATGTACCATGGGATTTAGCTGTTAATGTTGAGTGATTAATGGTTAATGATGGATTTATGAATGATCAATAATGATGGACAATCATGTTTACCTATGAAACATGGTGATTTTTCACAAACCGCAAACTGTTACGACTCAGAACTGCCAAAGAGTACGTACTTCAGGGACCATCCCCAGTGGTTGGAAAAAGTGTTTTGGGTAGCTGATTGCAATCCCATTCGAGCCAGGATGCGTTGTCGAAACGCTGAACAATGGAGCCTTAAACACATTTAGATCACCGGCCGAATGATGTCTAGTTGCCGGCCCCCTGTGTCCAAAAATCTTCCAGTGGGACAAATCCAACTATTCCAATTTTTTTGGATACCTCTGGTAAACTACCATAACTATGGAAAATCACCATTTTTCATGGGACAATTCACTATTTCTATGGCCATTTTCAATAGCTTTTTGTAGGTTTACCAGGCCGGGTATCTGATTTTTGGGAAGCGCTGGTTGTCACGTCGTGGAAGATCCACACGTTTTTCAGGCAGTGGCATCCCAGTGGACGAGCATGCGCGGGTACAGCTGATGTGTGGACACCCGCCCTGTGTGGCGATGGCTGGTTGGGGTGGCTTGGGGCATGCCCTCTCCAGCCAGTGGCTTGGAGAATCCCATTCACAAATCCATGAAAAAATGTTGGGATTTTCCAGCCATGTTTGATGACTGGAGGGTATTTGGTATTTCCAACCATAATGGCATGGTCCCCATTGACCTTGGCATATAAAAGTTGAAACCACCAACCAGATGGGTATATCAAACAGCAATCATGGAAGATACTGGCCAATGACCAAAACGGGATATTTCCCAATAGAGGTAAACAAATTAAACAAGTAATCTGTATAGGTTCACAACTCAGCCACCATCTAGTGCCATTTGAAAGCATCAAACTCATGGGCCGCCGCGGCCACAGGTGGACAATGGTCACTGACTACTGCGAGATGTTCAAGAACACCATTCGCCAGGACACCAAGAGATGTGTTTGCCACCCATCGTCGAACACATTCTGAGGTGTCCCCACAAATTGTATCCTTCAAAGCTCACAAACAAAAGTCTGCCTTTGCTAGTGGGAAGCAAGTTTGATGATGTTGCTTGCCAAATAGATCCAGTGGACACAGCTACAGTGAATCGCACTTACAGGCCGACTTGTGATCTGTGGAGTGGCTCAGGTGGGAAGTATGACCGAAAGCTGCAGCGCTACATGGCCAACCTGTTTCTGGGCAGCGTTTGGCATGTCTGAGAGCGTGAGGAATTCTGGTTGAGGAGTGGCCATAACTCCTGTTGGTTCGGAAGCATGGCGACTATTACAGTCCATTCAATGCACAATCCCTTTCAGCCCAGCTGGAGAAAAGGATGATACAAGGTTTCGGGACCCATTTCGGGACTTTACTTTCCACCCTGTTGCCTCATTGATGTGCATCCAAAGGCAAGCCAACTGTAGGCTTCTGAAACTGGATGAGAAATGCTGTGACTCTGACCACCCAACTTCTAACTTGTCTTGGGCATATTCCCCCCAATTTCCCCCCAGCAAATCCAGGGAAGTGTAACCAGCGTGATTCGTGGACATGGATGAACCGCGATGTGGCTGGAGACTTCCCCCCTGGTTGCAGCAAGCCTGTTTGAACAATTGCAGCAGATACTATCAGCAGATACCAGTAGTACACCTTTGAATGTACCAAGTATAACCGGTTTAACCACTTTAACCGGGCCATAAGTTAAAACATGTAGGGGAACTATCCACAAGCAACGGGACCAATTGGGAGCCGCAACGGGTCAAGTCTCGGATCCTCCCAAGGCCAGCGGGTGATAGCAGTGCCATGTCCGGAGGCTCCCACCTGCCACTTGGCGAGTTGATGTTCTGAGTGGTTTTGAAGCATCTTACTCTCAAAATAATACATGATATACATGTCTGATTACTGATGTGTTGAAATTTTTCAAGCTTTTACTTCCAATCCGAGTCTTGTGAACATTTGTTTTGTGACAGGCCCATGCTTTACTCGTGATGCTAAGGCGACAGATCATGAATGATTTCTTGGTGCGGTGCCAAAGTCTCCTTTTTAAGGGCATAGGTCTCACATTGCTGGGCAGATAGATGCCCTGCTTGGTGGAGTGAAATCCAGGATCGTTTTTAAGTTTCTTGCCCACTTAGTGTGAATACTCTCTGGGAACGCTTTTCTCATTTATATATAGATGGAACATGATGGAAACTTCATCGATGCGATTTTAGCCACAAAGCTACCGCAAGAGAGGTGGAAATCGCATGAAAATAGATCCCATCTTTTACAGGGTTATGTCTCCATCAACGATATGACACATGTACATCCCCAAATTACCATCCTTGGTTAGTTATAGTTATATTCATTCGTAATCAGAAGAAACTTGTGTTAAACATCTCCTCTATAGGTTTGGCATTCCCCATAATATATTAAATATATAGCTATTGGCCCATTGGACCCATATTTTTGGCTTAAGAACCTCCCCCCAAAGCCGTGGAAAAGCTGTGGCTTTTTCCCCAGCGAAGTTACCAAGGCTGACTACGTGGAGATCCCACTGGCAGCCGAGATGACGGACGACGACATTGACCGAGCCATCCGAATGCATGAAGGTGGGGAAAGTGGGAGATAGTGGGAGGGGGGAGAAGAACGACAAAAAAAAGAAAAGAAACATACTGGGAAAATGGGGATATCATGGGGAAAATATGGGAATATCATGGGTCAATTTATGGAATGATATAATCATTAATCATTGATGGTTATTTTTCTTGAATTTGAGAATTGTAGTGAAAAGATGTGAAGATGTTGAATATGGAATAGAGCAGTTTCAAACAGCCTGGCATTAGTGATTAGTTTGGGCGTTGGACTACTGTACCCGGAGATGATCAGAATCCATCATAACCCTAGCCACATGGGAGAAGGAGACAGGTGAATCTAGATCCCATGACAAATCGCAAAAAAAGGTAGTTCAATATGCATGGAGGCATTCCCACTACTTGGTACTACACGTTTTCTAGTCGGTTTTATATAAACAGCAAGGAAAGTTACAAGGCAGGAAATCAAGTTGCAAAGTCGAAAACATGTTGTTTTGGTGGCGGCTGTGACCCATATTGGAGCAGCCATTCGAACATTTCTTTGGACCCTCCAAACCACTGCGTTGATGGGTTGTGACGCATGCACTCGTACCCATTAAGATAGGTGGAACCGACAGGTCAGAGGGTGAAGATACTGTAGGTGAAACTCTACTAATCGGTGAAGCACCATCAGCAATTGGGAGATTCATGTGGATAGTACCTCAGTACCTCCCATCCATTGAGCAGTGTTCAAGACCCCTGGTGGTTGATGAGTGGTTCTGGGGGTTACACTAGCCGAGATTCTGGGATTGTCATAATCCATTCAAACAGGGAATGGCTGTGGAATTTTCATGAATTTTCCATACCCTATTGTGGACGTTCATCAGAGATTCACTGCAATTAGAAGATATTAGAAGCCATGACTCAGGGGAAGCCATTTCTTAAGCCACTTTGATCACCTGAAAGTTGCGCAACCAGTTTGATCACCGCAGGTGACTCGCTTCCGGGCTTTCCGTCGCCCGACACCTTTGAATACCTGGCGCTGCTTGGGGGCCCAACCGGTGGTCTCACGGGGGGTTCTCGGATCGCGTTGCGAGGCTCTGGGGTGAAGTTACTTGGAGGATCATCCAACGAATCGTAACTGGGTAAGAACCATATTTACAAGCCAATCACTGTACATTATGTATATACTACATATATGACATATATATGTGATAACCTCACTTAGTTAGAACCAGACTAAGTACTTGTGAAGTTTCTATCAGCCATTCTGAGTTATTTCCTGATTTTTTTAAAAAAACCTCTGGCATTGTAACGTAGCAATGGACAATGGTCCATCTAGTTCGATGATTTACCGACATACATCCCATCAAACATCCTGGAGGCCAACCTCAAAAACATCCCTAGTATATAACCATATAAAAAAAACTTATTAAACGATATTAAAGCATATTAGAGCAGCATTTTTCGATTGAACATCCCCATTGATATCCCATTCATATCCCACTGATATCGAGGCCTCACCTGCAGCGTATTGCCATCCCGGCAGTGGAGTGTGTGCACAACGTGGCTTCAGCGCTGGATGCCCGGGAGTCCAGTGGGAAAAGCCGACCGGGGACCCAACTGGGTGATGAGTTTCTTGGTTTACTAGCTGTAGATTTTTGCGGGGGTTGTAAGTTGGCGACCCCAACTCATCCCAAATTGATGATTTTCCACAGGAATAGCATGAAACTTCCAGTCATTGGTGGACCAAAGGTCGACATTTCAGACCCAATTCTTGTCAACCGTCAAGAATTCAGAGAACTACAGATTTTCAAAGACATGTTCTGCTCCAGCTAGAGGATCCTAAACCTTTCCGCGTTTGTTTGTGTTTTTTTCTCACTGTGCCACTGTGCCCATTTAATTTGGTCACTTCATAAGTTCCACAAGGTAAACATTTACCCTCTGGTAAACTAACATAACTATGGAACATCACCATTTTTAATGGGAAAACTCACTATAAATGGCCATTTTCAATAGCTATGTTAAATTACCAGAGGGTAACACACACATTCAACGTGCCTCCAACAACCCAAAGGCCCCAAGGCCCCTTGGGGAACCGCCAGGTGCTCTCGCAGCGCATGGCCAACGCCGTCTTCCGGCGCTTTCCGAAGCTGGCCGAGGTGGGAAAATCCATGGCACTGATGTTCCAGCCATGTTTCATTAGTGGAGGGTTATTGTTACTATTATTAATAGTAATATATATATATATATATTATTATTGTTATTATTATTGTTATTATTATTATTATTGTTATTATTGTTATTAGACCTTCAATGAAACTCCCAAAGAACACACATACACATATATATATAACACATATGGGACACTTGCTCCAGTTGTAGACTGGAAATTAAGCTCGAAGAATGCGAGTTTATCCGTAACAATGGTGGACATGGGTTTATCTCAAAACTGGGAAGATCCCGATATCCCAGGATTTGCTGTGTTAATGGGGGAAATGATGACAAACCATTGGAATTTATCGGATTGTGGGGTGGACAGACATGTGGAACCATGGAATACATTGCCACTCCTGTGGAGAAAGCCCACAGCAATGTAGAGCTTACACGCTCGAATCCTCTATCTAGCTCTGGTATTTAAACGTAGCTATGGAACATATTTATTTTTCATACTGTAGGCAAATCATCTATAAGTGGGCCATTTTCCAGAGCCATGTTAAATTACCAGAGGGTAGCTTTGGAGGTCAAGGGGATCTTCCTGGTAGAACGCTTCCTGGAGATGTCAGTAGCTTCACTGTTGCTGTTTGCCATCATGACATGTGCTGTTTGTCTCTCTACATCTCTCTACCTTCCAGTAGCCTCAGGCAACTTTATTGGAGATACCAAGGGGTTGCTATTGAAATGGGGGAGGTTATAGCCAGGCATGCAACAGCTTCGGTGAAAGCTTCGGTGTAGCCCTCATCCAACAACTGGTGATCCTAAGTTCAGCAAAAATTCGCACAGCCCAAGCCTTGAAATCCCGATTTATTTGTGTTTTGCAGGTGAGTTTAGAGATGACAGCCAACATCATTCAAGAACAGAAAGAGAAGACGCGCGTGGTGGTGGAACAGCAGGTTCCCATTGGCTGCAGAGCTTTTTTTGCTGACCTTGAAAAATGAGCGAATATTTATTTTTTCGGAGTTCACTCGGCTTTTCTTCCGTAACTTGACCATCATGAATCTTGGAATATCTTGGAGATTTTCGTCAGATTTTCGTCAGATCATTCGGTCAACCAAGATCTACTCCGGGATGGTTGGCGATCTCCGCGATCTCCGCGCAGGTGTCCTGTGCAGTGGGCTACCTCTTCACCAACGACCTGTTGGTGCCCCTGATCGGTGGTCACAATGGCTGAGGGGATGGCCTCATTGATTTTGGCGCTGTGGGACATTCCCAGTAATCATTTCCATTGATTTAAGGGGGAAAATCTTCTGAAAACCCTGACAGTTGGATGGGTTTTCCCATGGTTTTCTGTAGATTTTCCCTTCAACCAACCTTTCTGGAGCAAGAAAAATATTCGGCTGGTCGAGAGGCTGGAAGGTTGGGGTACGGTTTACATCGTGTGACCAAGGTCCTACCTGACTGAACATGGCTCCATGGAACCCATGTACGAGGATAAGGAGCCCGCCCTCCATGCAGCCCGATGTTGTGCCGGATGGGTTTAGGAAGTTTGTGGCTGATGTGAATTCTCCACGGAGATATTTTTGAGCATTGATACATTTCAGACATTTTCTGATTTATTCATGTTGGTGAGTCAACAAGCACCATGGACCATGGATGCAATATGATTCTCAGTGGTGCTTTTCGCAGCGACTCCGGTTCAGTGTGCTTTTTCTCCCATCCCAATGCCGGTCGAGATTCGAAGCTGGACTGCCAAACAGGGCCATGTTGCTGATCTGTTTGGTCATGCTGTGCTTCCAGTTGTTCCAGTTGCAGGAGAAAGGCCAGAATGGCCAGTTGGAAAGGAGGCACCCGCTGGATCCTACGCAGGATATGAGGGATACCTGGAATTCCATGGGCTGTGCGTTGGCGTGAATCAGCAGCAAGTGACCTGGAACTTTGCCGTGGTACAGCTCTGGCCTTGCACGGAAGGGGCCAATATCCAGTGGCTGTTTCAGGGTGACAAGTTGATGTGAAAGACAGACGATTTCAGAACGGCACCCTGCTTCAGATCTACGATTGCATTGACAATGACGCCCAAAAACTCGTGTCTCCCATTGAAATTGGGCACACCACAGGGCCACGCTACAGATTTCAGTTCGCGAATAAGAAGGATGGAAGCTACTTCATGGATGTCCCGGAGGCTAGTGCCAAACTGTGGAAGCAGTTGCAAATTTGGCAGGGCCCACTGCCCAGCCAGTTCTTCAATGCTTGATTAGGGGGTGTACTTAAGAGGGAGACCCAACCAGGGTGGCTTCCATGGAAGATTTCTCCTGCCAAATTGCAAGGGAAGCTCAAAAGAAATGGGTTTGTCTGAAAATAGGGTATATTCCCAATTATAGCCATTTAATAGGAATATCGATTTTTCTGCTTTAGTCCTTGGAGGTAGGTGGAAAACAAAGTGCCTTTCCATGTGTTGCAGTTGATGCTAAAGCGGCTTCGCTTTAGACAATCCGAGATCCGCCGGAGTTACCCACCAGACAGGCAGCGCACCCGTCATTGCTACCATCAAAAAACCGGTGGATTTTTGTGGATCTTCTACCAGCCATGTTTCTTTACCGGAGGGTGATGGAAAACTAATGAACGCCACCTTTTTCTGTGTGCCACTGATACCTCCATTTTGGACTCAACTGACACAGCCATTACTTCAAGATTGAGTGCCTAGGTGTAAGTGTAGCTTCCTCGGATCACTCCGATGATTGTCTAATCAAGGGCGATGGAGAAGAAATCAAAGATGGCACTGGAACCTGGATCGGAAGATTATTTTCCTTTGAAGGCTGTTCTTGGAGGATATATTGCTATTGGCAGCATTCACATCATTCACTAAAGTGTGTCAATATTCTTGCGTGAAATGACATCACCTCTGCTTTCCCAGAATTGCTCAGTGCAGGGAAAATTCACTGGACCCCCCGTACTTCGGGATAGACTTTACAGGAAATACATCAGATATATTTAACATCAAGAATTCACAGTTAGAAACTATGTTTTTTTTTTCGGTCAAAATATCCTTAGAACTTCCATAGATCCCCGAAATCCTATAGTTTCCTGCAAACGAAAATTCTTGAAATTTCTTTAGATCCGGCCCAATCTCATCGTTGAAGTTTGCGAATCTTCACCATTCTCCATGGACCAGGAGAAGCCTCCTTCGCCAGATGGTAAAGCCCAAGGTTCTAAAGAGGCCGGCCATGCCTTGGAACGGGCCAAATCGAGGATGACCAGCTGGTTATGACATTCACAGTTCGCGAAGTGGAAAGATCCACCCATGCTATTATGTAAAAAAACGGTAAAGCATCTATTTCGATTAGGGCCATGGTAACTACCATGGCGAACTGTTAGTCATAACCAGAGGCTAGTGACTAGTGATTCATGCGGGTGGATTTGCCGGAATGGCTCCTACACTGCCTATCTGGTGTCATCCAAAACCAAAGAGGGACCCAATTTGAAATCCAGCACTGCCACAGGTTTTCGAAATCTGAAATACTTTCAGGAGGATCTTTTGTCTTTCTATACCATTAGGTGTTTGGGTGTTCCTGAATTCTGACATTAATAGTGATCTTTAATGATCTTTACACCCTTTCTCAGTGTGGACGCCTGTCAAACCGCGAAGCAAGGATGCGAACAAATACCTCTTCACGGATGAACGGTTTGGGATGCTCAGTGATGATTTTGGTGGTGGAATCCCTTGGGGAAAACAACGAAACAAGGGCGGGTTGATCCATGGGTTGATGGACTATTGGATTTCTTGTTTGAGGGCATCCGAAATGAATACTATCTTCATAAGATATAGAATAGTAGAATATAGTAGATATAGAATCAGAAAGAATGAGTACTCGAATAAACCAAGGCTCTGTCTTCGTTATTCCATTGTGCACCATTAAAGGCGATGGGTTTTCTTGACCAACCAAAGCATCTTGTAGTCCTCCAGCTCGCCAGGTCCGAGAAGGACAGGCCAGCGAACTGGCTTGGTTCCCACGTGAATTTCAGGGCTTTAGGGGTGATTGAAGATCGGATTTCAGGCCTGAGAACTTCTACGGCTTGCGAATTCCAATACTAATCATCGAACCATGAATGTGCTGTGTTGCTTGAGTTCTCAAGGTTAGATTACATGGTGGGAAGTGGAGTGCCAAGCTCTACTAATTGTCTAGCAATTCTTGCTTGGAACCATTGGGGGCACAAGAGATGTCAATTGCGTCTTCCGTTTGAGTTTGGATTGCATTTCTGATAACTCTTGTTTAAAGTACAGCTGTCAAGCTGATGGTCTTGTAGCATCTTTTAGTCCTGTAGGCATGTTTGCATTTGTGTACTCCACATGCTTTTTCAGCCGGATTTGTTGTCTACATTCATTTTCCAAAGTGGGTGTTTCCACGTGCTCGGCGAGAGACATCAAAGGGAATGTAAGAGAGAAGGACAGAGCCATGGCATTATTAGACACACTGTACACAACAATTGAGGCTTGCAACACGAAATGATCTCGGAAGATAGAAAGATGCACACTCTTCCAGAATTCTGATTATGGGATGCAATGAAATCATTGATGTTCCACCAGTCGAACCATCTCCAAAGTGGCTGTGATAACCTGCTCTACTTGGCAAAGCTCCAGGATCCATCTTTCGGTGAGAAGGCAGTTGCAGCGATGAAGGTGGGAGATGGCTGTGATGCGGGTGATGGATGAATCCTGTGGAACAACTCCGAGAAATAGTCTGCTCAACTGGGATGATCTGTTGAATCTTTGCCTGTGTTCTCCATATCCGTACGCTGCAACAAATACTCGCCTTAGTGGGATCGCAATCTTTTTACACACACCAGAACTGAAGGTAGATAACTCAACTTCTGCATAGGGAGCCTTTGGCATCAGATTCCTGGCGCCGAATTTACGGACAGAGAAAACTCGCATGGGTGCAACATCTTGGCCGCTGTGGTTCCAAAAGAAAATCCCAGTGGGCTGCCGATGGCTGTGCCGCGCGTGCCGCTGCGCGACTACAACCGAGCCATTGCAAAGAAAGACCGCTGGGCAGAAGGCGTTGCGGTCGGGTTAGCTCCCCATGTTGATCATCTTGGTGAGATCGTGTGGTCCCAAAACCATCCTATAAACATCCATAAACCATCTCCAGTGTGACCTATTTTGGTGGTAAACATGTGAAAACCATCCCGAAATGGGCTGGTTTATGGCGGCTTACCACACTGGTCTTGATCTCATTGTTCCGGGTCAACTTGTAATCAGGGAACCTGCATCAAAAGCTGGAGGACTGCTTGACCAGGGCAGTTACAATGTGGGAGATTTCAAGGGGCCATGGGGGCCCAATCCTAGGAACATGTGTGACACCTGGCAGCTTTCTTTTTTATCGACACATATTTAACTCTGAAGTCTGCCCAAGATTTCTCATCTTCTTGCATATATTATTATATCACATATCATATATATATATATACATCATATTATCTGCGGAACAAGGAGGCTTGTCACGTCTTCAACTGCTATGTGTCACAGAGCCTCAACATCCTCCACTTGATTTCACCAAAGAGTTTTAAAATTTAATAATCAGTAGATCGTCAAATTACCTTTTTCGATATGATATGTGTCACTCATGAAAAATATTCAGAACTGGAGGTGAATCCGAAAATGGGTTTTTTTCCCCAGATCATCCAGAAATTATTTTCGGATTTTCCATGAAACAAACCATCCATCCATTGGGGCAGGTCTTCATTTGCTACGGAGGGTTGATGCACTGCATCTTCGAGCGGATTCTATGGGTGAAACTGAGTGGGTGAAACTGCATCAACATCTGGGGGCTTCACCGTGAAACATCTGGGGATATGATTGATACCCTCTAGTAATTTAACATAGCTATGGAAAACGGTCCATTTATAGTGAGTTTTCTCCTATTAAAAATGGTGATTCTTGGTTGATGATGATAGGGCCGATTTTTTGGGTCAGAAGTTGTAATACAGAAAAAAAAATATCGGGGAGTTTCACGACAATCAAAAAAAAATGGGCCGTGAAGCGACAATGATGATCTGATCAGGGGATTATCCATTGGCTTTTTTGATATTGATCAATTTGGAGAACAGATTGCTGCGATCAATAGTGGGTACATGGAGAGTAAGGAACCTGCTATGTGACCTGGGTATTCTATGGTATTCTGGGATATTTTGAGCTGGATAGTCTTGTCACGTCTTGTCACACTGCAACCTTTAATGCTACCAACCACATGGGAAGACGATCCGGAAATCACTAAGGCATTTCTGATGGCTTCATCCACCGAATTGTCCCCGTCCCCCTTTCTCTGATAAGGATGTGATTAGTTTCAATTCAGCCATCAACAATGGCATGAGCTGGTTGGTGGCACCCCTGCTGTTAGACGCTTGGCCATAGCTGCTTGTGGATATATCAGCGCATTGCCAGTGGATTCTGCAATTCATACTTTCGGTGGCCACTGGTTCTGCTTGTTCGATGGGCTAGTTTTCTTCTGGAGCCCTCTTGCTTCTGCAAAAAAGATTTTGTTTACTTGTCACTCACTCAGGATAACCTTTCAGTGAAACTGTTGGAATCAGACATCATCACCTACACCAGCTTGCTGACATCCTTCCAGAAACAACTCCAGTGGCACTTGGCTGCCAGTTACTTGGTCAGATCATTTTATGCAGGCACGATTCCACCATGTGGTAAGGTTGCCATTTCTGGGGCATACCAGCTAGAAACTCAATCGAGGAACCATGCTTACAATCTAACCATAAGTGGATCAACCCCGGTGCCTCTTTTACTGTTCATGGCCATTCACCTTTGACACCCATTATGTAGCAACCTGCAAAAAGATAGGAATTTGGTGAAATCCAATCGTCTAATGGTTAAACTTTTCAGAACTTTTCCATTTTGACTACCATCTGGTTATGACTAACAGTTCGCCATGGTTAGAAATCGATGGCCCTAATCGAAATAGATGCTGTATCCCGTTCCGAAAATAGCCATGGGTTTTAACGGGGCTTCCCATGTCCTACTTGGAATGATCATTGATCTTACCTTCGCACCTACTTAGGTCTCTTGATGCAGGCACGGTGCCATGCGCAGCAGCCCAACGTCATCACTTACAACGCCACGCTGAGTGGCCTGGGAGACGCCACGGTGCCTTGGTGGACACGAAAAGGCGCCACGAAGCGCAACAAAAATCTTGGGATGTTAATGGATACTAGTGGATATTAATCACCACTAATCAGAAAAGATGAGAAATAATGAGTGTTTATGATTTGTACTGGTGTTTTGATCTAGTTCATGGTGTTTATATCCTTTATCTATTGATATTTATTGTACCTTGATATCCAAATTAGTGGGATACCAGTATTACGAAATAGTGATTTTGCTACAAGTCATGCTGTGCTGTCCACGAAACAGAAAAAAAACAACAGGCCTGTGCTGTATTTGCAATGCCCATACTTGGATATGTGGATCTGGTTGATGAACTACGGAGGTATAAAACCAAGCATCATGAGATACCCTCTGGTGAACTTTCACATAGCAATGGAAAGATCCACCATGCTATTAATGGGAAAATCCACTATTTCAATGGGCCATTTTCCATTGCTATGTTAGTTCACCAGAGGGTATCGAGTTTTTTTTTTTTTTTCCGGATTTTTCCTGTGATCTTCTAATATTCAATCCCATAGGGAGGTGGGGTCAGAATTGGTTCCCCCTAATTGGATGTTTGACATCTGGCGCTCCATGTGGACCCAAATCAGTGGGGGTTCCTGCCATCTTGGGCAGTTATTGGTTGGTCACGGTGGCAACCCTACTGGGGGATAACCCCTGTCGATCCAATCTGAGTTTATACCCTTCAAGTACCCTCTGATAAACTAACATAACTATGGAACATCACCATTTTTTAAATGGGAAAACTCACTATAAATGGCAATTTTCAATAGCTATGTTAAATTACCACAGGATATAGTTTTTTTTAGTTCCTCAACTTTAGCCAGTCCCCTGAAATTTGAGTGAAACCAATGGTTGCCACCCTGCAGATGTCAGGAGTGGCAACGTGCTGCGGTGCTATTAGACCAACGCCGCGACATGCCCTCGGGCACAGATGTGGTGTCCTTCAATGCTGTGGCTCGGTCCCAGCCTATCCGAGCATCATAAAACCACTGGATTTGATTGGGGCTGCCCTGTTTTCAGACCTCGATGAGGGACTTCGATGAGGGATTGAAGGGTAGAAACATGGAAGGTAGGATTTCAACCTCGAACCATGGGTTCTTGAAGATGTTTTTTGACTTTGAGCTATGGGATCAAGATGGGAACGGAACTTTCTAAAATGGGATTGGGGGTTCTTTTCACGGTAGTGTAGATTTGTCTGAAATAATTCTTGATAGATAGTTTGTATTTCCTTCAAGAAACAACCCAACCTCCATATGTTGGGGAACCTGTGAGTCACTTTGATCTTCCTTGGAGGAATGCTCCACGTGATGGTGATGCAACTCCTATTTCTCACTTGTCACCCAAGTTCTGCGGATTTGCGGATGATTCTCGATCAACTCTCGAAAGGGTCCACAAGCACCCCACAACCACCCATGATTATAGTAGTGATGCAGCATCGATTGATTCTCCTCATGACCATCCTGCCCCATTGTTCTCCAACTTTTTCGTGAATTTTTCATCCACTTCCCCAGGGTAGTTTGCGGATCTCAAAGTATTATCCCCAACGACGATCCAGTTTTTGCAGATCAAAAGTCAGCCCATCTCGACAAGGTGGTGCCCCCCAGATAGCTACTGTAAGTTGGTTAAGAAAACCCCCACGAACTAGTTCGATAAATCCAAAACCCAACAGTTGCTGGAAGACATCATGGGTGTGGGTCAAACTTGGGTCCTAGCTGGTCCTAGCCAGACTAGCCAGTTTACCATTCAACATGACCAGAATCTGTGGTCCCAGGTGTTGCACAGCTACGAGAAGGCGTCGTGCTGGCAGGATGCTCTGCTGCTGCTGGAGGCTATACCCTACCCGGCCACGGCGGTGACCTTCGGCACGGTGCGGAGGGGGGATGGGGTTTGTTGTGGGGGGATGGGGTTCATTAATGAAAATATTACTATCAAATTACCTACCCCAAACTGGTGACTTTCCCTAGAAACCTGTTGAATTACCGGGTTAATGAATCCTTGCGTGGGGCGGCCTTTGAAAGTTGTTGAATTTCGACAGGAATCAGATGTAGACATCGACGCCTCCGCAGCCTTGCCTGCAGCCGCTCTGCCAATTGTTTTGGGAAGTGAAAATCGGCAGACACTTTGGATCAGCCATTTTCATCATTTTACCTCTTCATTAAATCATTCTTCCAAATGAAAATTATGTGGTTCGCTGTGGTTTTCCTCTCCTCTTGTGGCTCCTGTTTTGCCACCATGCTCTTGCCAGTGGCGGCCGGCTACCACCGGATATCCATCATTCCGTCCGCTTTCCCTCAAAAAAAAACCGGCACAAAATAGTGCCTGACTGACTGGATCTTTTGGGGAAATGGTACATCCCTGTCTTGGTTCCAATATTTCAAGATGCGAACCCAAAAATCAGATGGGATGTTTCTGAAAACTGGGGCACCCCAAAAGCCGATTTCATGGGAACAAACGACCCTCATCCATTGGACTTTGAGTTTTTTTCTTGGTTTTCTCAACATTCTCAGACAAACCCAGATTAAAAATTGGGAAGTTACATGAAACTATCATAACTTTCCTGTTAAAAATTGGGAAATCATATGAAATTGCCCAATGTTTCACATGGAAGAAACCTGGTCTCTCCACCCCTGGCAGGTGATTAGCGCCTGTGCTGCTGCATCGCAATGGCTTGTGGCCTGGCAGTTGCTGTTTTCCGCGGTAGGCCTCGAGACGAACCTCATCATGTTCGCCGCGTTGGATCTGGGGCCGATTTCTTCAAATGGCGATTTTTTGGGCATTTTTTAAACAGATTGCCATAAATTGGGGCCTATAGACCCTCCAATTTTGCAGCCTGAGATGGAAGGTGATGTTTTTTTTCTGGGGAAGGTGGAAAGACAGCGCTGTTTTGCTGCGTTGCGTGGAGTGTTTCGATGGAATTCCAGGTACAGTGCCCTGATCACAGCGTGCGGAACGGCGAAGCACTGGCAGAGAGCCGTGGCGCTGTTGTCAGAGGCACAGTTGAAGCCCAGACTTAAAGTGCTCTTGAATAGATATGGGTATGGATCAATACCTATTAATACCATTTTTAGTGGGTTATTCACATCCATAAATCCCAGCTATTTTGATGTGAACTACAGGGGTACTATTGGTTTTGACACACTGCCATATATCCTCCGGTGTCATCAAGCATGGCTGGAGAATCCACTATAGACTTTGCATTTTAAGAATTGGAACATTCTCAAAGTACAGGGCTGGGCTTTTCCATTGCCATGTTTGATCACCAGAGAGTAAGATGGATTTGCCGTAGCAGCGTAGCAGGTGCTTCACTTGCTTTTACGGGAGCACCATAGATGGATTCCAACTTGTTGATGGCGGACAATTCATCCAACATGCAGCAAGTAATTAGACAATAATTGCCAATCATTGGATTGGATACCCAATCCTGGAAAACTGACATGCAGCCTTCATGTAGAAGATGTTTCACCCATTGGACATGTTTTTTTGATTTATTCTAAAACTTTCAAGCCAAGTTCCAAAAAATTGTGGAATATTATTTTATACGCCCCTCGAATTCCTATATTAGGGTTTGGATTCAATCTCAATCTTTGGTCCCAAAGAGGGAATTTCATCTTAGGCCCAAAAAAATAGAGGTTTACCTATTAAAAATGGTGGATCTTTCCATGGCAATGTAACCAATAACCCCTCTTTACCCAACCGTGGTACCACGGCCGCGCCTAGGCGCAGCGTCAACGGATGCAGCTTGACCTGGTGGCCGTCACTGCTGCGGTGAGCGCCGGAGCTGAGGAGCGCCGGTGGCCTGGGGTTTATGGATGTTCATTTGCCCCAAATATGCAAGTGCTGGTAATCAACAGTTTGCTACGTACTTTTTAAATGGTGGGTTTACTTTCAATAGCTATTTTCGATTGCTGTTATATGGTTGTATATTCCATTATATCATCCTATTATGGTTGGTTGTACATATGTATATATATATATATCCCATATATACCCTACACATTGTATATATATATATAATATACTCACATAAGCCATTGCTATCATAGCAGTTGGGCCAGGAGTGGCCAGTGGC